AGCAGTGTATCGGTGCCTCCTACACTTCCGAACCGCCGTAATAGTGCAACAAAAGACTCGTCTACTCTGTTAAAGAGAAACAGACGCGCGCAAAATTGATCAGCCACTATACTGCTTAATCTATTAGCCAACGTTCCTATAAAATATTTTTTATGTTTTGAAGCTATTGCCAATTTCGCCATTATTACCATTTGTACGAATAGCGATTATTGTATATGTAACGGACAGAATCAGAGGCTCACAGATCGCGATAAGAATGCAAGGGAAATTAGCATGTAAGTTAGAGGTATAACCATGTATTTTAGATTAAGTGACGCGTACCGCTCGAACGTAGTCGTGTAACGAGGAAGCAAGCATGTAATACACGACGTAGAGATCGATTTGGCTGTGTGAAATGATCAAGGCTACTCGTTTGGCGCGAGAAGCTCGCGGCCGTCAAGCCACTATTTGATATCATGGACCTCGATAGGAGCAGGGAACTCCGGTTGTACTGAAGGTTGAACTAGCGTGCACAGACTAATGTCTGGAGCCGCTTAGGCTGAAAAATAGTTTCGATTACGCGAAAGAGATTAGCTGTAATGTTCACTGTCAGCTGCCCGTATTTAAACTAGGTGGTTTGCTCCTTCGTTGCCGACAGGTCGTAGTGCGCAACATCGAACGCACCAAGAACGGGTGGAACGCTAAGAATGGGACTGCGGGGTAGGCGAAGGGGAGGGGAGCGAGCACAGCGGCTCTGCGATCTCTTGCGGTAGCAGAGTTCAGATGTTCACGGGCTACGAGCGAATAAGGTGCGTGCGGCATCCAAAAAATTGGTGTATCTTTACTTAGTAAGAATATAGTTCATTTTTACTAATAAATTGAGAGTTGAATTGTTTCTTTTCCTGGTGACTCCTGAATCCGTATGTTCCCAACGTCTACAGTATAGGATCCGCATTAAATAGTGGTATCCCGCTCACTGCAGTGTTTAAATGGTTGAGAACGTTAAAATTAGTTTGACCACAGATTAGAGTGCATTCCCAGCTGTTCACCAATATTGTAAAAATTATTTCCCAAGCCTTGGAGTGAGCTTTTTTGCTTGTTTTTCTGTTCATCTGAAGGCCAGTCGAACGGATTTAAGGAATATTCATGAAATATGTTAGGTACCTTTTAAGTTCGACTATTGTCTTTCACATCTGGACCGTATTGGGTATTTTAATTGTAGTACCGAGGTTGGGGAAACTCGTCTAGTGCTGAGTTATCTATTTATCTCAAATTTTTATTTTCTTTTTCAAATTTTCTTCAGTAAGCCTGGAACGGGTCGTTGCAGTTCGTACTTAAGGGCCCTGCGGTATCTGCCCATTTCGCTCTGGTATTTCCAAGCGTGTTGTGTGAGATTCCTTCTTGTTTGTATTTTGTCTTCAAATCACTGTCCTTTAACTGGTTTTTTCAGTTTTGGAATCAGCCAAAAGTCGCAGAAGGCTAAGTCGGGACTGTAGGGAGGTTGTTGCAGTAATGCGATACTGTGTTTAGTCAAAAACTGTTGCACAAGATTAAATGAATGCGCTGGTACATTATCGTGATGAAGAAGCTAGTCACAAATTTAAGGTTCAAATTTTCTAAGTTATAGTTTTTGGTAATCCAAGGTCTTCTTCTAGTTCTCGCACAGTCGTGCGACGATCTTGTTCAATTGCAAGTCGCACCCACTCAATATTATCCAATGTTTCTGTCATCGAAGATCAGCCAGAAAGCGGATCGTTATTAACAAAGTTATGGCCTTCTTAGAAATGATTAAACCACTCTTTTATTCGTGTTTTGCTCGTACACTCATTTCCAAAAGCCTTCTGCATCATCTGAATACTTTCAGAACTTATTTTTCCGAGCTGAAAGCAAAATTTAATGCAAACTCGTTGATCTTGCTTTTCAGTCATGTTTAACAATCACGAAATACACCAAACTCAAAAATAACTTTGTAAACAATGACGCACTGCGCATGAACTTTGCGTCCGAAAGGTATCAACGAGGAACTGCTGAGTTTGAAAGGCTTTACTGTTTACGTTTATGCATCACAGAGATCGATTGAACACTGCGGCGCGGAGTTGTAGGAGTAGGCCCGATATTTTGCGGACAGACTTCGTATATTGTATAGCTTCAAAAGTATTCTCATGCCTTTTCTCAGTAACGTATTGAAGCAATTTGAAGGTAGGTCAATAATCTCTCTTAATATCAGTTAACATGTTATAATAGTTTCCTGCAGATAACTTATCAATTTTTTTTAAGATTAACAATTTTTTATATAAAATTGGTATAAAAAATGTGAATTAAGGTTACGTTTTTAACATGTTCTAATCACAAAGGCAATAAATGTTGTGTTTAGTTGTTAAATTATGGTTTTATCACCATTAAGTTGTACGTCATGGTGACAAATATGGTTTTCTTACATGTTTATGGTTGTAAGATACTATTGTAATTATTTCGAGATATGGGGTATGTAAGCACTTACATGTCTGACATTCTATACTTTCTTATTGATTCAACGAATTTTTTTAATGATAATTTTGTTTTATGTCGTGCATAGAAAATTCAAGCGAAAATTTTGTATCCGTATAAATAAATCATAGATAGGTGTTAAAAAAAGAGAGAATTCGTTACTTTTTTTTTGTATTGCTAAAAAAAATAATTAACTTCAGATATTGTTGTGACTCTGTAAGATCCAGACGGCCAACAGTTCATGTTGATCGGAGTATAAGTTTTTTGAAAGTTTACGAACTTTACTTACAAGTTACTTTGATAATAACATAAAAGTGAAGCTATCCCAAAAAGATAGAATATTAGTCAAAGTAAATGGAATCATAAAAAAGCACTCTTAATTTAAAAAAAATTAGAAATCGCATTTTTATTCAAAATTAACTATCCAACAATCAAATGTAGTTTTCTACATTTTCTAGTTTACAACTAAAACTTCACAAATTTACGAGAGCTACTGGTTCTCACTCAGTTTTCATCTGGCAATAACATAAAGTTGTAAGATTTGTCAATCAATAAAATTTATTTTAAAATAAATTACTATTTCTTCACACAGATCAATACAATATTACTAATACTATTTCAAGCGTATGATGTGTGCATATAATACACTCACTGTTTGTGTAGATTATGTGCCAAGTACCGAATTTTAATATTGCTATAACATACAGGCCATCTGCTTTATCAATGTCGTGAATGTATAAATAACAGTAAAATATGTTTGTTCTCAAGCTTTCCGTTAAGAAATCACTTAAAACGAATAAAAGCTTACATTTTGTTATTTATTACGCACGAAATGTCTAAACTAATCGATGGGTGGATCGTAAAAATTTTTTTTAGCTGAATTAATAAAATAAAAAAATTGGAGCCTATAATCTGAACTATCGCTGATATTTATGTACTTTTTGCTTAAACGAAAGATAACAGATACTAGCTAAATAATGAAATCATCCGTTCTTTCTGCTGAGTGCACAAGGTTGGAGAAAGGACTGTCACCACTAGTCACTTTAACATGGTGTCTTATGGGATGTGAAGATAAATTCGTCAATGACGGCCACTTAAGCTATTTTCTTCCCTAAGATTTAACATGAGCTTAGGGAGAAAAATGAGGGCATCACCGGTCATACACTTTCCCGAGAGGTAAACAGCTATCTTAAAAAAAAAAACTTTTACAAGGTATCACTTCGTTTGAAACGTTTTCTGTATTATGTTTTTTAAACACTAGCACGTTCGAAGATTTTAGGCTTATAAATCTTCCGCCGGAAATTCCTGAATAGTACTTATCTTGTGAGACTTTATTAAATCCAAGTTCAGAATTCTTTAAAGTAAACGTGAATTGTATACTCGTGGAAGAAAACTCATGAATTTTCTCCAAGGATTACAAATAAAAAAAAGGCCCAAATTTTTATCATTAAAACGTCTAGTAATACTTTTCTTTGCTTTATACGCTACAACAACATACTACATTATGGTTCAGAATCTATAATGTCTTAACTGTATGAGAATGGCAGCATATTGAATATTAAATGGCTCCTCTAATTTAAGTAACTCTCTTTATAGTCATGATAACAAAAAATGAAAAATCAGAGATACCACTACATTTAAGAAACATTTAGTAAATACACAAATACTATACAAAAAACAATGTGATTATTATGAGACTCAGAAGTTATCGATACAAGTGGGTCATATCATGAGATTTTGTCAGCAATTATAAATTAACAGTATTAGAAATACAAAATCGGTAACATTGTCTGATATGCGGACATCGTACTTGTATGTATATTAAACTCACTGATTGAAACATTGTTATGATGTTGATAATCGTTGAGAATCACTAAACTTTTTGTTATCGGAATGTTATTATTAATAGTACAATCATTTTATAGTAAGCTTATATTTTTGTTTACTATTATACGAAAAAAAAGACTTTTGCATACCTTCCAAATGCCAGCTTTGACCGCGAGCGGAGGGTACTGTAGCCATTCTTGGAGACTATAAGGGGTATACTATATTTCAATCTAAAATACCCATCCTAATAGGTACTCATTTAGGCAGATAGGATAAAGATCAGTAGTCTTTTAAAACATTACAGTACAAGTATAGTGTTGTAGTTATGATATCATTATGAAATACTATATTTTCAAGTAGTGTCAGTGCTTACAGGACAAAATATATAATAAATATATTATATCTAAAATTTTTTCCTAGTGACTAAAGTCAGTTAACCAATTAATATTAAATAGTTAGGTTGATTTTCCAGAAATAGGTTTTTACTAAAAAGCAATGTGACTTTTAAATAGTAAAAACTAATTTTTGTTAGTTATGTTTAATTTTAATGACTTTCTAAAACTTTCTTGCAATTTTATTTTTTTCTCTTGAATAATTGTCACTTCTGTTACAATACAATCCTGCCGAAAAATTTACCGTAAAATCTTTGCATAACATTGATTGATATTATTATTTGGACGAGGTTTATAAAATAATAACACTTTCAGTAATCAGACTGCTTTGCATTTTTATTTAAGGCATATTTTTACAAGGGTGCATCAAAATTTACATCAAACACTTTAAATTTGGTTAAAATGATTAACATGACATTCTAAGCTTCGGTACTGGTAAATTCTAAGGTTGTTATTAATCTACTGGTTTTAACGTTATAAACCTTGACAATATAGAAACTACAAAAATAGTTACGATGACAAAAAAAGTAACAAAGATGTACCAAGACTCTTCATCAAATAAATCAGTAAATGCTGGAATATGGCTATAAATTGTATCGATTAATTTAATGCTGTAACCTTTATCTTGGTGTACATATCGCGCCATGACCATACTAATTTAATTTACAGAATCAATATTAAAAGAAATATAAATTCACACTGATATTAATTAAACTTCTGTAAAGGAATTTATAAAAAAGACATAAATCCCTTTGGTAAACGTTAAACTGTTAATTATTGTGACTTCTCACTAACTTGCTTAACCTGAGAGCTAACGTATTTATTAAAAATTGTTAAAAGTTCTAGTGTTGTTAGGTTTGTAGGTTTCAGAATGAATTTTCCTCGGTTTTCTGTAACAAAAAAAAATTTAATTTTTCAATATTAATCTCTCTATGAATGTGTGGTACAAATATTATGCAAAAAAACATTTTATCAAAGTAATACATTTCGAGTTATATGTAAATTTTTAGATTATTTTGTTTTACCAAGAAAAAAGCAATCAACTAAAAAGTGAGTACTAATACTTTCAGAATAAATGTAGTCTCTAATTCTTTATTCAGTTATAACTAAATCTTCGAAAGCTAGAATGCAAAAGGCTTTAGTAATTTAATTAATCAGGTAGTATACCGCGTCCCTTAGCTATAATATGTTATAAGTCCTTGTTTTTTGAAATAAAAGGACGTAATAAAACGGAAATATTGCGTTCCTAATTAGTTTTATACAAAAATAAAGTATAATTACAATACACAGTTACGAAGTTACGCTTACCGTAAATAAAAATAAAAAAAAATATTGTAGAGCTATAAAGAACCACAGTCTAATTTATAAATTTTAAAAGTAATGATCTAATGGTAGAATACACTTTTTTAATTTTATGTACAATGTAACTTAATGATTCAAGTTCAAAATAGTGCAAATCACTAGCAAGAATAAGTCTTTCCTCGGTGTGGTTGGAACACTCGACCTTCTGTTTACTGGACATATGCTCCACTCACTAAGCTATCAGAGGAATATCGGTTAGTTACATGGAGGAAAGGATACGTGCTAAAGGTAGACGTAGAAAGTGGCGACATTGTGAAATACGAAGGACTAACTGTACATATCTATAATCTCGAAGTGTACTATGCATACACTGAGAATCTGAATGTAGCACCAATGTATTTCTTGATTATGGATACACGTGAAATCAACAACCCAAACATTTTAAATAGACGTGATTCGGATGCACAGTTTACCGTATAGATGAGTGGACTAGGTCACCATAGGTCATGTATACTTCTCTTTGTGTATGATGCAACTTCTCATGATTATTATTATTGATTTTTTAAGTGTACAGCTACTTAAAACGTTGTAATAATTTTTTAAATAATAAAACAAATGCTGCAACAGACTTCTTCAATTCAAGTTTATTAGAAAATGTATGGGTACATCTTATATTGTTGACACCAGAGGCATCTACTCAGAGAAAAACTTAGACTTCTAAATCTTCTGATTCAAATTTTTTTATCGAGAACTACCGAAACGCCATAACATTTTTTAGAATGCAACCAATAATACCGTTGTAACAATAATTTAAAAAGATAATTTGTGCGGAAGAAAGTCTTCAAAAATAAAAATATGTAACTAGCAAGATAGCGTAAGTAAAAAGCATATACATAACATACATCATTCTCATATTGCAAGATTTGAACATACAATCTGCTCTTAACTGAGCATGTACTTTTCACATTAAGCTGCTGGAAGACTTACAACATTAGTTTGTCATGCTATAAATTTTGATCGGACTTATTCTAGACTTTTTAAGTATAAAGACTTTTAAATCCACTACTTAATTATTAAGTTTTTAAATTAAGTGACTCTTATGCCAATATTTGCACTAGTTTACCATTTTTTCTAAATGATGTTTTGTGAAGTATCTACTTCCTAAACAATTTATTTCCTTAAATACAATTTTCTTATCCCACAGCAGTTTTTCAAATAACAAATTTTCGTCAGAACATTTTATACGACAGTTTTTTTATGCATTTGTTGCAAATATCATTCTTGTGGCTACAAAAAAAATAATTTTAATTGAAGTAGGGCATGCTTCACTGTATTTTTTGGTTAAGCAGTTTGAAATTGCTTATTCTGTTGAAGTAAATCGATTCACTGTAAAATTAATAATGTAAGACTTTAAGCGCACTTAAAAACATTGAAACTCTGAATATAAAATTGCTAAGTCATTTAATGTCAGCACACGTATTGTGGGCCCCACACTTTATAAAAAAAAAAAAAAAAAAAAAAAATATATTATAAGCAAAAGCCAGTTTAGAGTGGTAATCAAACGTAGTTGATAATTGAGTGTATGACGTAAGATGTCTCCTTGAAGTAATGTATCATTCTTATTGATTTTAATGTTATATACTCAATGGGCGAGTACTATTCATAATTAGTCAAATTATTATATATTGACATCTTTCATTTAAATGACTCAACATTTTGAGAGCACTTTCAAAAGAGAAAATCGCTGATGTGCGAAAAAAACTTTGTCCATTAAAATTACAAAGCAGTGGAAAAAGACATATACCTCGGCCAAGAGTCAAACCTGGGCCTCCTTCTTGCCAGTAAGGCGCATAAAGCAACTTCGTCACCGAAGCCTCGGCAGATATCCTTCCCCACTGCTCTGTTAAGTGTGTTTTAGGTCAAACGCCGATATCGTTAATATTAATGTTACTACTCGATTGATGATATACTCGAATTACTCATCTCGCGAGCTTTACAAGCCATTAATATTCTACGTAGCAGTCCATTAGATACCAAGTGTGTAATAAAATTCAAAAGTAAAAAAAAAAGTAATAGGTAAACTGCCGGTTCTGGCACCGCCCAGACCTACTGATGTGGTGATAAGAAGAGGAGCCGATTGGGCGATGGGTGGCTAGCGTAGATGGTAGGGGAAAAGTTCGAGATATAGCACAGTCAGGTCGTGTGTGAGGCAGGATTTGGCAACTTGGTGGAGGGGGATATAAAGCTATCAAACAGTGGGTGCTGAGGACTACTCAATCGGTACGTCAGAAAGGTCTTGTGATCCTGGTAGCTGTGACGATGGATGGTTACAGCTGAGAATCGAACTATGGCGTAAGGATGGTTCAAGAGGTTTAGGCTACTAAGAAGGTCAGTGTACAGAGAGAGAAAAATGATCAAGCATAAACGAGTACAGTCCTAATCAGCGGATGTTTTTTCTCCCACTCATCATCATTTAGACGTCTCAACAAAATCTTTTTTTTTTTTTTTTTCTTTTTTTTTCGAGAGAAGACGTATCGAAATGTTGAAAAAAAGTGTATACTCTTTCATTACGGAAAGCGGACCAGGAGTCCTTTTGAACTAACCAACACTGGCTCGTTCAACGCAGTACCTTGCCAAGGAATACAGTCAGCTATTGAATTTAAGTTTGAGTTTGTTAGGATAATTTGTAAATGGGTTTAAATAATAAAAAAATTTCAATTTAATGCATATATTTTTAGCAGCTTAAAAGAAAAAAAAAATTCGCATAGCTCTAGCAAGGACCGATTATTAATTTTTCTTGTAATCTATTATATCGATCTTTCTTTGGACGACAGAAAATATTTTCAGTATAATAATTTCCCTTCAGTTTTGGTTGAGATACCTCAACGTGCTTTTTTATAAGAGGCTTTCAGCTATTTTCATCATTTTCCTTACTAAGGCTCTCGTATTTTAGTTTGCTAAAGTACGGATCCATGTTTTTTTTATGTTGACTGCTCAATTGTCATACGATAACTGAAGCTATATGCAAATTTTTACTAGCTCATAAGAAGGCACTTATTTCTTTGTACTTCACTGCAAGATATGCTTCAATATTTTTCATCCCAAATTTTACGCTTTCTTTTTCTTGTCTGCCCACACACGGTAATCGACTTTGGCATCGATATTACTATCAGTTTTAGAGTCACTATTAGTATAAGCCATATTAGATCCATCCACGATATCTCAACTGGGAAGCATTTCAGAAATTTTCTTCTTATAACTATGAAGTGCATTAACTAAACATTCCGTGTCTGGCTCACTGCTACTTTGCACCAAAACGCCCAGAAACAATTCAATGTGATCAGCTTAGCAAGTGCGCAGAATCTCTTTCTGCGGAGACTTTTTTGTGCGTCATGAGTACCACACACCAACATCTAACGCATCTGTTGAGCATCCCATACTAAGGATATGATGTAATGGCATAATATACTGCTGAATGATAATCACAGCACACTATGGAAAATTTTAAGTGGCTGTATTATATTCATTAATGTTAACTCGGTGTGCATTTTTTGATACAGCGTACAAGTGCTGCTGTAATTTTTTAATGGAATAATCATCCTTGAATCAGCAAGGTCTATACACTTTCTTCTACTGATGATCATTGTTTTGGCACACATCACTAGGTAAGGTAGAAAAATTGTACGGGGGCCACAAAATCCAATGACTGATCGCATGGTCAAAAGAGATACAACAGCCACTTTTTTTGGTAAAAACTGTCGAAAAGCGTCGAGAAAACCTTTAATCTATGTGATGTAACATGTGTATAAATCTATTTTTAACAACTAAGCAGCACTCTGAGCTGAAATTCGTTAATGTACATCCTACAATGTGCAAACGTATGTGTGTTATATTAAAATGAATCATTAATTCTTAAAATTTTAATTTTAATCTTGTGTTAAGGAATAGATTACATAAATAATAACAATAGTATGATTCAATACATTTATTTATAACATAATTTCAATGTTATATGACATGCAATAGCTAATGTTGAAAGTTCAAACTCTAAATAATCAACCATATCATTAACTTAAAAATAAAATCTTTCAAGACGATTTTTCTTCAATCCTCCAATTACATAAATCTTGTAAGCATTGTTGAGATATTTCTGAACAACGTTACCAATGTCTATGTAGTCAATATTACGTGATTGCCAATCCAGTTCATGATAGGAGAGCTTAACCCATAAATTTTTACGTTTTCATTTATAATTTAGTATGCGCTAAGAAAATAGGCGTTTAAAGAGAAATACTTAGGGCTCATTATCTCCCTAAAGTGAAAGAATCACAAACTCTTTAAGCACATTACATTGCTAGGCTTTTTAAAGCCCTGCATGTCCACCATGTACTCCATCATAATAAAGACTGAATTCACTATTAAATTTCTTTTTCATATACGTGCTTAAACAAGGTTTTTCTAGTTGTAGTTTGCGAAGAGCCATCAATTACATCGAACGGCATGTGTGTGATAAAATCTTTTTTATTGAACGTACGGAAATTGGAGAGGGTAAGAGACATAAATTTTGATGTTAAATTTAAAT